CTTGACCGCTTTCGTGGTTAACGCGACATACATACATAGCGCGCGTGATACGGACTTAAAAATCATTATCTTGTTAACGCGATTTTTTTACAACATTAAAGTGTAGTGATTTTTACGGTAAGCAAAACGAAACTGTACTAAATTTTAATTAGTTAGAAGGAAAGCAGATACGTTGATGAGGTATGTAACTACTTTTTTGGCAATCAATAGCAAAAATGTAATATACAGCACATGCTTGCACTAAAGTTATTTATTGTACAAATCAACATCGTCGTTACTTCACCACTGTATTTGTAAATGGTAATGGTTGGGCTACATCAGGCTCATCGAGTATATAACCAGAAATAGAGACGAAATGCCATTTAATTTATTTGAAAACTATTCTGCCATATCATTACTGTGACAACTGCGCTCCGATTGGCTAGCCCGAGTTCGAAACAATTGACGGGTGTCGTCAACTGTTTCACTTTTGTGTTTTGCTATAATGGACGAAAATTGCAAAATATTTAATATTTAATTACCGATGAAATGTGATTCCGTTTGTTTTGTAATTAGATGTTTTGCTGTTTTTCCTATACCACCGAATAGAACAGCACGGCATTGTTAGAGATATTATCTTTATTACAATAAATACATAATATTTTTTGGAATATACGGAGACATACACACAGGTCAGTAGCTGGCCTGTCTATATTTCAGTGCAAACGAGAGTTGATATTTATAAGAGCTGTATCGCTAATGTGTTACCAGGAATATATGGCCCTTATTTCGTCTCTATTTCTGGTTATGTCTCGATGATCAGGCTATATTACCCTACTACTAGGACAGCAGAACTATAAGTGTAGAATGGGCGTTTCCAGCTTTCAGTCGCTCTCTATCTGTGGCGTGAGGTTCAATGAAGTTGTTTTTTCGACCTGAAATTTATCAGACGGTCTAAATCAGAGGTACAGTATTATACCATTTAATCCATACTCTTTCCGCTAAACACTGTATACATTGTATATTATACAATGAGCTACTAAAGTTGTTCGACGTGTCAAAATACTTTCTTGAAAATAACGTCTTACTTGAATTCATGTATCTCTTTCTGTCTTTGAATATATCACTATGTTCAACATGCACTTATTATTTTATATACTGCACTATAACTGAGGATATGTAACTAAATATACATTGTAACTTACTAACAGTAATTGTATTAACTAAAATACTGCTTACATAACCAGAGTCGATACAACCTCAAATAGCTTTGGTGGATTCCACATATCAGTGAGAGTGTTAAATCAATCACTTTGAAAAAAATATATAGGTAAAACTGAGGATATAGTGTATATTATACGGTGAGTATACGATATGAATACACGATTCCTAAAAATTTTTACGATAGAAAAAAAACAAACTTACCTCGAAATTGTACATCGCTGTATTCAATCGGTACCTACTCTACATATACCAATGAATTTTTTTATATCAATTGAACTAAAAAAACACGTAAGTATAGTATACGATACACATTTTTCAAATGGCTTTAATTTCGTTTATAAAAAAAAATAATTCCGACATAAAGGCAGTCACTCCTTCCACCACTCGAGGTGCGCAATAGAACTGATTCATTGCGGAAAAAATTTTAATTCGAGCTGAGGTAGTATCGACTCTTAATTGTAGCAACCTAATATTGCAAACGTCACTAGTCCATTTGTATTGTATAGTTTCATATTTATATTAATTAAGTGACTTAACACTTATAATCCTAAATAAATAAAAATACGTAACTCTAGTAAGAGTCTGTATAATATAGCTTGACCAAGCTAAACGAAAAGTTTACAGTGTAGATATGATTAATATGTTCATTTTTATTTTATATGGATGTCAGTGCGACGAGCAGGCGTTACATTGAAATATTTTCTATCTACTTAAGGCGATATTGATATCGCAATATTGATATTTAATGCATTTTTTTCCAGAATCAGGTAAATCTTTATATCAGTATCTTCACACCCTAGTACACTTTGACTTTATATTGTATATAGAGTCACGAAACAGCTACATTACGTTTTCTAAAGAAACGTTAGTTTGTTTGAAAAAAAAAAGAAAATAAAACAAGCATGATTTTTAAAAAAATAATTGAATTTCCAACGTGTAACAATCACGAAAACCTCAGAACTCGGTAGATTTTTAATTTTTATTTGTTGAGAATTGAAATAAAGAAAAATAGATGAGGTTAAAATTAGTTTTTTACCAGCAGTTGCTATAAGTAGGCGTGTCGTTTACCCCGCAGTTGTTCGTCCCGTTATCGTTACTTGATATCATAAAAAAAGAATGAAGAATCTAGATACGTGAAACATCATTGGTAGTGATCCTGAGGATGCGACGGTATTGCCTTATAGAGATTTATTTCTGGTTTCGTAAATGCCAGACAATACAGGTACAAGTAACCGCACACAAGAGGTGACATGGACGATTTTATCATTTGCCCATGTGAAGCGAGCATGCATATTACGTTGCGTCCTAAATGTATATTTAGAAAGCGTTCTATAACGCATGTGCTCATACATACCACGGACCTCAATACGACTTTAGTAACAAAATGTAGCTAACAGCAAATAATGAATTGATTTTAAGTTTCAGCTTGTGCTATTTCATAAAATACTTATTCAAATTATTTATTAAGATCATAAAAATGACAATTTATAAATTTATGGTTCACGTTGACCGCCATTGAGGGTATAAGCTCAGCGGTAGAGCAATCGACTGCATCCATAAATAGGTCTCCTGTTCAAATCCGGGTGTTCCCTTATTTATTCGCTTTTTGCGTGAATTTTAGTTAGAGTTTTGTTGTTTTATATAACTAATCAATTTTTGTACCTACTTTTCTTACTATAGGTACTACAATAACAAATTACTGCTTATCACTTATTACATGTTAGATTCTAACAACATGTTGTTTCAAGCTCCAAGCATGTTTTCGTTTTGTATTTATCTATTTTTATAAAGTAAGTGCAAGCGTGATAATATTTTCGTTAGGTCAAGTCCAGCACGACGTCATATATTTGCAAACAAAAAGTCTGAAACACATTCATAAAATTATGTAATAGGATCAAGCGATGTCGATTTCGTACCAGGCGATCAGGCAAACTACTCAAACGGTGTAATTTACGTTTGGTATAGTTCAGTTAAAACAAAACGAATAGCACGGATTAATGTTTAAAATTATCAGTTGTAATTAGCTCGATCTGATTGTCGGATTAAATTAGTTGTGGACCTCCACAATGTGCATATGTAAGTTTTGATCATTTTCCTATAATCTATAAAATCACTTCAACTGCATGTCAATTCACGAAATAGAACAGAACCAAAACAAAAGGATATTATAGACTCGACATAGAAAGAATAAAAGTGAGACTGCCAACGATTCGCCGTCGAAGGCATGTAAGGGAAATTATTCTACTGAAATACCTTTCATTTATTATTTTACCGTATTTACAGTTTACTCCAGGCAGGACTCATTACTCAGTATTACACTACTTATAGTATGACTTAAAGATCGGAAAAAAATAAACAAATACTTACATGAAAAATGGATGAATGAAAAGGAGTAAACAACTGGTGATTGAGATGTGAAGAGAAAATAAATATTTGTGCTATATTATTTTATATAATATTTTATTTCTGATATTTGGATACGGGCGGGTGGCTCAGGATCGTTAGGAATTGAAATATAAAAAAATTGCGTAATAAAAATATAAGCAACCTAAACACTGGTTTCAGCAAAAATGATGTAAACATTCTTCGAAAGATAGTCGAACAACTTTCAAATTTCCTACACAAGTATAAATAATCACAACATTAAATTGTACTTCAGTGTTTTTTACGTACCTACTCGCAACAAAGAAAATTTTGATTCAAAACTCTCGCTGTAACTTAAAAATTATTTTATACAATAAGCCTCTTAGCCAATTTCGAATAAAGAGTGAGCATTTAAAGCTGAAGGTAAAAACACGTCCTCAGCGCTAGCGTTAAGCCACGTACTTTTCATGTAAATTTTAAGCTGTCATTTTTTGCAAGGATTTCGACAATCTGGATCGTTGAGACAATTTTCGGACAAATTACGGTCAGCCACGAAAATTATTTGTTCGCTAAAATTTTTTTAAAAGGTTTGGGATACACGACATATAGCAAAACCATGATGGACCTATTCATTTTCAAATAAACAAATCCAACGTATAAAGCAATGCCAGACGAAAATAAAAAAAAGATTGTTAAAAAAGAGTCACCGTTATTAATATTCTAACTTTACTAATAATACTTTGCGTGAAAATTCCCGGCGCTAACCATTTCACATAAAGAGGTTGTTCAACAGAAAAAGTTGGCAAATTTGTCTCGCCCGAGGCACACATTATCTCCGCTCATATTACGTTATAAATGGATGTGATTTAACAGAAGCCGCTGCGAATGCTGAGAAGAACTCTTTTAGTTTATTTTTCAGGTAGACAAGTCACTTATGTGACTTGTGAATTTTCAAAATTAATCAGAAATTTATAAATCTTGTAAGATTGTTCAATTTCTGATAGATTTGGAGATTTTTTCGCAATTTTTGAAAACTAAAACTAAGTACATTCCAAGCACACATCATAATTTAGTTTAACTTTCGACGACTTCGTAGGTGCGCGATTTATACTATTCATTTTTCTCGGAGAGTTTGCAAATCTCTCTGCGCTCAGTAGAATCTCCGTCTGCAGTCGTTACACTGCACTCTGGGGAGCTAAGGATTTTGCAAGCTTTAAATCTTGAGTCGCTGAGTTTAAACAATTTGTATCACCTAGTGATAACCTTTCATAAAGTGGAGCGAAATACAAGAGCTTAACCATATCGTGGTAATTGTAGAATGTAGGAAACTCTGCGACATCAATCACAAATGAAAATTAAAGAGCACCTTCCATATTCGAGTGCGATAACATATGTATTGTTTATAAACGCAATTCAAATTAAAATCAATGCAAAACATACTCATTTCTCTGTGAGATATTACTCTTGAACGGCAGAAACATTATGAAAGCATGATTTTTATAAAGGTAAATCTAGTTTGTTATAATTAAAAATTTTTGGTGGCATAAACTAATTTATAATTATTATTTTATAGATTCTTCTTGTTTTACTAGCAACAGTAGTTACACTTTCTGAAGATGAAAAGACTTGTAAGTATTTAAAATAGTACTGATACTTAAAAATATGAATTATTTTGCTTTATTTACTTACTTGGTACCAAGTAAGTAAATCACCCAAGGAGCACACTTTATACGCCTTAAAACTGTTATATCTATAAACAGATGATATACATTTAGATAATAGTTCTCTATAAATGGTTTTAGAAAAAAGAAATTGTTCTTATATACTTATTTCACTCAAGTCAAAATTTTAAAACCTTCTTAATGCCAAACAACTTAATTAAGTGTAATCTCTCTTAAGATTTACTCTTATAGTCCTTATTTTAAGTTCATCTGTAGAACAACTGACTATTTTTAGTAAAATTGTATTATACACATCCAGTAAAGTCTATTAATACTAAAAACTAGTGTTCTTAAGTTTATTCTAGACATATTTAATTTATAGACATTCTGTAGTGTTTGTACTTATGACAAACACGTTATAGCGTGTCTCCAGTAGGTTTCATTTAAAAAAATACTACAATTAGGGTTTTTACACTATTGGACGTTGTAAGAGTTCATGCAAAATGGATAAAGTAAAGAATATTAAAAGATCTGGTGGAGATGGTGAACCTTGGACGTTAAGTCACATCATTCGATACAATCAGCGTTGCCAATGCCAATTTTTCAAAATCCCCAAAAATCACGGTTAAAATCCCTTAATTTGGGAAGAGCAAAGTTCATATTCCCCACAACATCCCCACGTCGAGTTTTCATTATTTATTAGAAATACATCGCTTAAAAATATAATAAAGAATTAAGAAACTCAAAATGTAATAATCTATTACGTTTGCTGTGAATGTAAACAGGATGTAAAATGTAAAAATAATTATAAAATTAGATGACCTTAAACCGTTTATTTATTTTAATTAGATTCAACATTAATCTATAATTAATTAATAAACAGTCTATGAAAAAATAAAAATTTTCTTTGCCTTATAAAATTAAGTAAATTGATTATTTGTTGATGACACTATGTTAATGTTAGAAATAATCAACGATTTTCGACCTACTTATATTTCATATTCAAAGTTGACGAGTGGTAAGTTGTGGTGTGGAAGTCCCAACTGCTCGGCTTTGGTCATCAATAGCTAATTTCGTTTTGCTTCATACCGGCGACGGGCCTAAGCGGGAGAAAGAATCGCGAACTCAACACTCACCGACTGGTAATTTTACAATTCAGAACCAAGTGCTCTAATAATAATTCTATTTAAGCTGCTTGTTAATAATACGAGGGATGTGCGAAAAAGAAAAACACGTCGATATAGTCCATCACAGTGTTTGTAACAGTAACGATCAAACTAGCGATGCACTAGCAATTGATAGATTAAACAAAATGATAAAATGTTAGAATCCCCACATTTTCCTCATATAGCGCCAATCCCCACAAATTGGCAACACTGGATACAATAGTCGTAATTCGCGCGCAATCCGGTCATGGCATTGTTTGTTGACAAATAAATAAACATTGTGAAGTAATTCCGTGTTGTGAAATGATAAAAACAATTGAAATGAGCGCGTAAGCTACTATTCTACAATGTTGTGTATGTGTATTGTGCCGTCTATCAATAAAATACAGTGAAATCATTGTGTGAAATGTGGTTGGCGTAAAGAAATAACCTCAATATTGTAATGAAAATTGTATTTCTTCCAACGTAATTTAGGTATGTCATTAAAATATTTCTTATATTTATATGATAGGGAATTTATCCACCTTTCTAGTCATATATAACACATTCCATATAATTATACAGAATAACGTTTTTTGCGACAAATTTGATTTTTTAAATTGTTTTTGACCTAGTGTTTTGAAAAGTTTTTTATTGCATAATACGCTCACTATTTAAGTTATAGGTAACTTTTATAAAGGTTTTGTAATACTGTCAAAAGAAAAAATCGCTTAGTAACATCGCGTTTTGTAGACAATCATAAAAACTTCATAGGAGTGAATATTCTTCTACAAGATCAACTACACTAAAGCAAATAAAAATAATCTTTTCGTATTCTTAAGCTTTTCTATAGATAACGCTATAGACAAAATGCTGCCAACTGTGTTTTGAAAAAAGCTTTAAATTCTTATCGCCAGTTTTATTTTTAAAGAATGACTATGAAGTAGCTGAGAAAAATTTATTTTCTTTTTAAAAAGTAAATCTAAGTTGAAATTAGCTTGAAGTAGCCTAGACATTCTTGGAAATGGTTTGTTTTGTGAGTTATTTTGTATGTTTAAGCTTTCTATAAATATTTAAAACCGAAAATCGATAACTGTATATTCATTAAGTTTATATTTTGTACATAAATATTTAAAATTTAGCGAGCACATTTCTTTTACGGCAGATTTTACATCACTTTTCACGAAGTATTTAAAGTCGCACGTCAATTTACGCGTTCTAACCGATTAAATATTGCGCAAAATAGTCAGAAACATTATGTCTAATTTCGCCATGTTGCAATTTTGATAGTTTATATTTTGTAAGCCATTAAACTTGAAATCTATTAGTATTAAGAGAATTGCTTCTTATGTTTGTAACGCTTTAGTATTTTGGTTTTAAAATAGCATTACTAAGAAAACTATCATAGACTATAAATTATCCAAGAACTGTCTACAATACTAAATAAAAACTGTCTACATTCTACAAATGGTCTTGTAGCATTCTAGAAGGGTAACTTGATAAAGGAATTTGAACTCTTAAAAATATTCAATCGAATTAAATTCTATTAGATATCTTATAGTATATATTTAGATATTGGTGTGCTGCTTGGGCAATAAAGTAAATAAAGTAAAATATAAAAAACGTAATATTTGACGAATATCTCTTTCAGTCAATCTTAAAATTGGTTTTGATCTAACTAAAGGAGAAAATGGAATGCCAGCATTACGAATACGAGATTTTGAAGGTAATCTAGAAATTAGCCATTTTTTAAATTATTTTAACCTAATCAGTCTGATAATATTGCGATAAACGTGAACATCTTACCTATACACGCCTTAAAATTTTTCAATTAGGCAAGTAAAGTTGTTTAAATATAAACCTATGACAATAATTTCTATTTTGTTCCAAACTTTCCCTTGCGACATAATTTTGCAAAGGATAATTATGTAACTTTCATGTAAGGTCATCGCATTCGGCAGTGTTGTTTAAAATTGACTTATAAACAACGGTGTTTTAAAATTTTGTTTACGAATAAAGCGTTTGAGACAAGGAAACATCTTCACTTTGTACTTATAGGATGCATATTTTAGAATCTGCGCCACACGTAATACCAGACCCTAAACAAACACGGAAACAAAATATCGAAAAGGATGTAGCCGAGGACAAAAAACCTAAGAAAAAAAGAAAATCTGAGAAAGAAGGAGCTGCAGGTAAACAGAGTGCGGTAGTCAGAGCCGAAGATAGTTCTAAATCTAAATCCCAGTCAAGCAATTCCAAATCCAGCGAAGAAGAAAAACCTAAGGCCAGGGAAGGCTCACCTGTTAAGTCGTCTGGAACGACTCCAGAACCAAAGAAAGAAAAACATAAAGAAAGCGGAAAGTCTTCAAATACTGCGTCAAAATCTAAGGAAAGCGTTGATGAAGGTAACTCTTTTTTATTTGTAAATACAATTAGGTTTTTATTTTTCACGTGAGAAACCAAACAATCGTAAAAAAATATTTTCAGATTCTGATGCTAAGGCCCTAAAACATATTACAAAAGGCGTGATTAATGCGGAAGAATATGAACCTGAAGGTAAAGCAATGTATTTGGGTGTCAAACCGACTCAAACCTGAATCAAAATTATATAAGCTAAGTAATTACAATAACCAAAACATTTATACCTTTTTTTTTTTTTTTTTTTTTTTTTTTTGTTATTCCGGGGGAACTGACATGCTACTTACGAATGAATAGCGAAAATATTGCCAATTTTCACTATTTTCAAACCTGATAATTTACTATTCATTTCCAGAAAAAGGTCATAAAGGGCAAGATTCAAAAGACGAGGATGACGACGGTTAGTAAAGCGCACGGAATTAGAAACTATAATTAGCGCCCAACATAGGCAATGTTTTGTTATAAAAGTCGCGTTAGAATGTAACGTTGTTTCTTATCAAATTTATTCCATTTATTAACGAATAGGTACGAGACGCAGCAGACGATTCAAACGGCAAGCATTTACGTTGAAAAAGAGATATAGAGGTAAGACGTCACTATTATAAACTAAACAATACAGTTGAAATTTAGAACCTTAAGTAGGTGTAAAAACATAGATTTAGTATATGGGTACTATATACTAAATCTATGTGTAAAAACGATAGAATAAGCAGTAGACTGAATAGCAGGCAGCGGCGGACGGAAAACACTTATTTTTATGGAAATTTTATAATAAATTCAAAACACGTTAGACACTGAACACAGCGAACCAAAAAGAATGAAACAAGAATATAATTCAAAAAAACAAAACTAATTCCTAGTTTAAAAATTACATGACAAAAAAGTAAAAAAGATCTATATGTATGAAAAAGATCTGTCGCCAACATGGCACCCCCGGTGCAAAGCACCAATCTAATGAGGCGACAGTCTAGGTGCGCAGTAATCTCGAGTGCCCTACTTTGCGAGGGCACTACTTAGCAAGGGCACTACTTTGCGCACCAGTCTTTTCTGCGGCCCCTTGCTCATATGAAGCTCGACCACCCGGGCAATTCCATCTAGGCCAGTGTATACATTTGTGATTCTACCTCGGGGCCAAGTACTTCTTGGAAGATTTAGGTCCACCACTAGCACAGGATCACCCACTTTAACGGGCGAAAAGGACAGCCCCGACATTCTGGGAATGAGGGTCGGTAAATATTCTTTTAGCCACCTTGCCCAAAAGATTTCGGCCAGACGCAACGCCTTCTTATAATCCTGGCAGGATAGTTCCGCGGTAGAGACGGGATGAGGAGCTGCAGGGGCTGGCGTTCCCAATAAAAATGGAATGGCGTCAATGCCTGCAGCGTGTGAACCTGTGAACTGAAATGAACCTGCGTAACAGTATGATGGCGGAGTCTGCCGACAAGCTTCCCACGATGTCGAGGTGCGTGGTCCTGGTGGTGAGGCAAGTAAAAAGGGCGACCCAGCACTTCTCTCATATGCGCCCCCCGGCAGTCTTCTCCCAAAATATGACTATTTGTTTTAGTTTTCCCTGGTTGTTTTGGGAAAGACCTGCATGCAATCTTAGAACATCGGGTCCATCAAACGTAGTGTGAAGAAGCATTTGGCCAGACCGGCAAAATGATAGTGACGGAGTGAAGATATTTGTGTTTTCCATCCGTTACTCTCATCTCTGGACTGTATTCGCACTTTCCATCAGGCGCGGTGCAGTCATTTTGCCGAGTCACAATAAAAAAAAAAATAAAAAAAAAAGAAGCTCGTCGCTAAATGCCAGATTGGGATCTCATGAAAAGATGTCTCTCAGCCTCTCGAATTTCTGAAGCTGAAAGGGGCTTCAAACCCTCAGAAGCTCGGGAGGGGGCATGCTTAAATTTATAATTTGGAACTTTAACACTTTAAAACGTTGGCCAAAAAAGATTTAAAACGTTGAGCGCACCAGTGCGCAGCAGTGGCTTTGACTAAATGACTCCATTTGCTGAAGTGAGTGTAATCACCCACTACAGGAGATGGAGGTTCTGGTCGCTCAGTTAGCAAACATGTCAACGCGTGCTCGGGCTTGTTGGGTAGGCTGATTTCGAGTACCCCCTTTGATATCACGTGCTAGAGATAAGTGCCAATTGTCTATGCCTATTATCAGCAATGGCTTGGCTTCGTCATGGCATAACTCTGTGGCAAGTTCATATAGGTGAGGGAGCTTCGCCACATCCGCTGTTCGGACGAGTTGACAAGCTATCCCCAGTCCAGGTACAGAGCGCAAGTCGTCTAATTTAAAGCTTTCATCAGAAAACTTGCCTTTGACGCCAATGCTAACATAATTTACCTCAGAGTCTTTTACGAGCCCACCAACACAATTAATTTGGATTGTACCTTTCGAACCTTGAGCCCCTACGGACTCTGCTACTGCCCGATCAATTAAGGTGACAGTAGAACCGTCGTCTAATATGACGTAAATATCCATCATACCTTAAATCCGAACACTGTCACCGGAAGCACCTTTATCAACGGTCGGAACAATGAAGGTGGCGACGTCGACTCTGCAGTGCCACTTTGAATGTGGGCCACTGTCATGGGTTCAGATTGTTCGGGTTCCGGTGCACTGTAGTTAATGGACGTAATTGGGTCTCTATAGAGAAGCATGTGATAGAATTTTTTGCTCTTGCAATCTGTACTACTACAATTGCTTCTGCAAATTTCATAGAAATGACCACCTCTTCTAAGATACCTACGACAAACCCTATTTTCCGTAGCCCACCGCCATCTGTCCGCAATCGAAAGATGCTTGTACTTATCACATTTGGCAACATTATGTCCAGCTTTCTGACAATATAAACATATTAGGTCAGATAGCGCTGGTTTCAACGGAACGGAAGGATTTACGATAGGCGTCACCACTCTAAAGTACTGTACTGTACCTACGTACAGAAAGATTTTTCGCGACAGATGTCACCACTTTAGCTTTTACCGACTTATTTTGGTGGCGTTAAAGGAGGTGGCATAGTCAACAGCAACGTAGGCAACGTCATCGCTGACGTTAGTGGCATCCATGATGGTCTGCGTGCGAGTCTTGTCTACGCCAGACAAGGAACACGTGTTTTGACGGTAACCGTCACCGATAGTGCCAAATTTTAAATGGACCCGTGATTGACGCGTGAGAAAACACACACAAGCAATTTCAATTTAAACGAGTTTCGCTCGAAATTTGCGTAAGCGTAATCTATACATTTCTCGCGCAACAATGGGATCAATTTAAGTAGCATATTGTGCAGCAACTCTGGAGACCAGGTACTCAACCGAATCTGTCATCTTAATGGTGTGGGCGTAGTTGCGCACCACACAGGCAAGCTGGTGGAGCTCCCTGCCGCCATCCAGAGACGCTGGCAATTTTGGCATGGCCTTCACGAGCTGTCGTATGAGAAGCTCCGGCTGGTCAATCTGCTCCTCTAGAGCCGCCATAATTTCCTCTGGATCTTGTGAGAGAGCTAGAAGAGAACCCACAGCATCTTGAGCGGCTCCTCCGAGGGCATGATTCTGCCGGCCTATATTTTCAGTTGTCGAAAACGAACTTTTAGAATTGAACTTGTGGGCGATCCGGAAAATATAGGCAATTTTGCTCCTAAGCTTACGTGGCGACTATTGCGGGCGAGGTCACTTACGACCTCAGCCAGCTAGAGTATAAGTCTATGGGTTTTTGTGATGTGTCAAAATCATTGAAGTTGGTTTTATTTTTGTTATAATTTATGTTATGATGTGTGCCTAAAGTGTATCTGCTTGTGTGGTATGATGCTGTATAGTCGGTATGAAAGGAGGCGAGAATTCGCGCGCCGCAGCGATCGAGTCGGCAGCTTCGGGCCCGGATACGCGCACACAGGTGGCAGAGGAAACGGAGCTGGCGCATAGGAAAGCGCATACTTGCGCGCCGGAGCGACTGAGTCCTGGGCGCTGGTCGAGGCGACGCTTATATGACCAGCTGGCAACAACGCTGACGCGATTGCGTATATAGATGCGTTTCCCACGCCGTGGCTTCGGAGCCACCGACGTTAAGCAAGACACGACCGTCCCGACCAGTTTGCTCATTAGCCATCTGCGAATGAGACCCATGATGAATATTCACTCTTAAATTGCGCTATCCACCTTTCAACTCGCAAACTTCTAAAGGACTAGGAGCTGCCGGCGTCCTCTAGGGCCGCGAGCTCTGCTTGCAGCTCGAGGTTCGCCACGATGCGTTCTGCCTCCCTGTCGGCCATGAGCCGGGCGTGAGCCGCCTCGGTGGCCAGCCGCTGGGCTCGAAGGGAGGCACTCGAACTGTGAGAACCTCGGGCCAAGACACTTGATCCTGGAGCGGCGGGACCTCCCGAAGGAGCCGATGCCTGGCTTCTTGTTTTTATCATTGTTAATAATGAATTTAGTGAAATTTTTGAAATTATTTGAAAATAGGTTTTGACGGGAGAAAGAACCAAAAAACGATAGGTGATGAACAGTGGACTGAGTAGCAGGCAGCGGCGGAAGGAAAATACTTATTTTTTTGAAAATTTTGTAATAAATTCAAAACACGTTAGACACTGAACACTCTTCACAGCGAACCAAAAAAACAATGAAAGAAAAATGTAAGTAACTCAAAAATACAAAAACAATACTAATTCCAAGTATAAAAATTACATAACAAAAAAGTAAAAAATATTTATATATATGAAAAAGATCTGTCGCCAACAAGGTGTTTTGATGTACAATACTGTTTTCCAGGAAAGAAGTTCAGCTCCGGTTCAAAAAAAGTAACAACCAAATATCGGAGATCCATCGTTTAGTATTGTTGAAACAAATATAATGATTACAAGCTTATTTCTACGACGAAAAAGTGTTTTTAAAGAAACTTTAAAATGGGTACATTTTTCCCTTCCTCACTCCTTTCTACCCGCTTTCATCTGAAATTAATGAATTATTCAGCCCTTAGATTCGCACTTCGTTCAATTTTAACTTTTACTCGGTTTATTTGATTAGGCTCAAGGTTCTTTTTCTGTGATTTGACAATATTGATTTTTAGGGTTGTTGTCTATAGATCCCACATAAATAATGTATGACTCCATGACTCCGATAAAATTCGTGGAGTCCGTTAATTTCCATAAGATTTATTATTCGTCTATTTGTACCAGAATCTCCATAAAGGCTATTTAATAGGAAAAACTTGACGTAGATCTCTACTTGTAGATTTTTTAAAGTATTTAAGCATTGACTTACAATTAATTTAAATTAAATTATGAAAATTTGACTACTTTCAGAAGTGATATATTGAATATGTGTTACTAAAAAATATAATATCTACGTGAGAACCCGAAGTAATTAGATTTATTCTAGTTTTTTTTTAATAGTACCTAAGACTAGAGATTTTAACCATAGGAGTAGAAATTTTACTTGATTTTAGCACAAAAGTGCTGCGGTCGAATACCACTCGTTGATATGAAAATTATTTTATCAGCAAAATTTCACACGTTTACCGTTGTGAGAGACAACATCACATACGTTGCTCCTCAACCCAAAGTAAGTATCTAAAGCACTTGTCTTATAGAAATCGGAAACAACGAAGGTATCACAAACACCCAGACCCAAGATAACACAGAAAACTTAGTTTTACTACATTGATCCGGCCGGGAGCAAACACGTGATCTCAGAGATGTGACACCATGAATACCAGGGCGCAAGCTAATCCACCACGAAATTCGTTTGAAAAATAAATCATTTGTCAGTCTCTAGATTATATAGCCCAACATTGCAATTTATATGAATAATAATAATAACGCACACACTCAATAAGCCCCGCACTAGGTAAAACCTGTGTCGCGGGTGCCATGGACACGCACATAGACAACCATATATTACACTCAAAGTCATGAGAGAAATAAATGAGGCCGTACAAATATCTCTACCAGCCCGGGAATCGAACCTGGGACCTCTGCGTGGCAGTCCGGCATGGTAACCGTTCGGCCACCGTGGCAGTTAATGTGAATGTTTTAATTCCTCTTATTCCTCTGTTCGTTATACTTCTGCAAGTAATCCCTAAATATTTGCTAAATTTTTACCCTTCAATGCGAATATGTTTTATTGTGGAGGCTTCGATAGTAAATCTTTATTTGTACCTACTCTCCGCAAATGTGTCGAAACAGCTGATTGTTCTTTGGCGATTTAAGTGGGGTCCATAAGTAGGTAAAAAACGTAAAACAATATTCGCTTTTTTTTATAAAGTTGATTTTTTATCAATTATAACCTTCTACACCAGTGTTTCCCAATGATTGTTCTGCCATGGCCCGGTAATTTTCATACTTATTTTTCGTGACCCACTCAATACTGAAACTCAAGCCTGTTACGTTAAGTAAAATAATACACATTTATTATTTGTAAAAATGTTTTACTAATATTATTTTGGTATCGCCTATTTAGTGCGAAGTATGGAGCTGCTACTTATTTTTTACTAAAGAATCCAAGTTCGCGGAAAATGACGAAAGTTTAATTCTGAGGTCTGGTTCCACTTCAACAAGGCCCGGTATCAAATGGGAAACGCTATTCTACACAATCCTTTATTTGCTCCTACACTTACATGGAACCAGATAAGTAATGAATACCTAATTAAGAATGTATTAGATAGTTCAAAGTACCCAACTTCATAGAGTCAAGTTATTGTATTCATTCCCTGCTAACTACAGAATGTTGCATGTAATCTGGATCCTGTCAAGGTTCGGAAGGTCGGTCGAGTTCACCGCAAGATATTGCTCCTGCCTCGCAAAATTACACTATTAACCCGAATATATTGCACTCTACTACACTTCGATGGAGATCCTAAGTTTACAATTGATTAATTAATTAATAATGGTCTTGGTACAATGTGTGTATGTACGCAACTCCATAATTTCGGACTTATAAATTGATATAGGTAGGTACGTCTAGTTATATAAAAACTATTTTTCGCAAATTAAATACGTTTATTAAACAGGTGGATGCAAGTTTTTGTACAAGTGAAATTATTTGTAGTAGCACTTCATATGGCCATTTGTATTCGGTTTGGGAATTTTTGTACCTTCTTGGAAAAATATTTGACGTGCAGATTAACGTGCAGACACTGACAAACATGACCGTCTACACATGGAACCAAATAAGAAGTTAAAATAATGAATATGACCATAGTGTTGACGGTTCACCTACGTATTTGCCTATTTAACTCCTTTGATGTGCATCCAGAAAACGACCAGCGCGCGGTAACGCGAGTTTGGCGTTTACTGTATTTGTCGAATAACAATAATAATAATAAAGAAATTTATTTATCTACAATGAGTACAGTAATATACAAGTTTATCCTTAAATAACATCGTGTGTAGTATCGAGTTCTTAGGTTTTCGCGATTGTCACACATAGGAAATGAAACTAATTTTCCGGATTTAAATCGCGTTTAAATGCAGGAGTTTACAAGCTTGACTGTGAGTGCGGTCTCTCTTATATTGGACAAACGAAGCCAAGTATTTGTACCCGTGTCAAAGAACATATAGCTGATGTCAAACACCGTCGCGTTAACAAGTCTGCAGTCTGCGAGCATGTCATGGATAAACCTACACATGCAATGAAGTTTGACAAATCCCAGGTCCTTGCAAAAGAAGTCCGTTATCTACCCAGGATGCAGCGAGAGGCCATTGAAATTAAAAAAACATCCTAATTTCAACAGGGAAGATGGTTTCTCCGTACCACCAGTTTGGGATCCAGTATTTCCTCTAATGAAAAATCCCAAACAGTCATAAGACTGCAGAACTAATTAACATGTTTTTGTTTTTATTTGTTTGAAAAAACAAATATACGCGATTTAAATTCGGAAAAATAGTTTCATTTCCTATAGTGTGTAGTAGATAAAAAGGCATGAGTCTCAGCTTAAACTGTTTTTCAGACACCACCCTTTTGAGAAAACTCGCTACATTTGAAATAAGAGTTATGTGACGCATCTCGACCAGCTCCACAAAAACAAAACAGACATTAATACTAAATAATTCACAAATAACATTTACGAATATCATATAATAGGTAAGCAAGGCAAATGCTTGGTCACAGATGCTATCTGTACATGGTGATTATTTGCCAAATATATCAAATGCGCAAATACAAATAGCCATGTGAAGTACCACCATTGCACAGGTGGGTCGAACATGTTTACAACGAAACATTATTGACATAAAATGTTGGTACGTTAGTTAACACGAACATGCAAAACATTGTCATATTTTCTTGAAAGGAATCTGCTCTCCCTTTCTTTTCATTTCATTCATCTAGGTACATTTCCCTTGCGAGAAAAAGGCAAATTAATATTCCGACTGTATAAAAGAGGGCATTGTTCCATGATACCTAGGGAGTTAATTAGCATACCTCCTCTGTTTTCTGAAGCTCGCGTAGTAAAGACAGCGCAGGGATGCTGTTTTCCGGTCCGCCGCGCTCGCAAAACCAGCTTCAATTCGCTTTCGTTGGATTAAAAGGTGCAATTTAAACAGATTCCTTTCGCCGCGACTAACTCAGATTGCGGGTAATCACCCTCGTTTCTTTAAACAAAGGATTAGTTAATTTAACTGCTCCGTTATTAGGAACGCAGGCATTGTCTTCCTTTGCGTTGGGAGAGTTGAATGAATTCGGTAGGAAAAAAGCGATCTTTCCAGGAGACGACAACAGTAATTATCTTAATATAGCAATGTACATAACTATATCAACAATATACAAAAATATATATATTACCTTATGTAATTCGATTCGTATTTAAGAAATTGCAGACATATGGCAACCGTAGGTAGTGTTGAATCATGAAAAAATTTCCATTTTGGAAAAATCATATATTTAATCATATCTTCTTCTTCTTTTAAATGTTATGGCTACATCGAAATAATCAATGATTTTGCCAATGTCAAGTAAAAATAACTATGTACGGTAGTTTAACAATATTATATTTTAACTCAGGGTAACTCAGTAATCTTAGAAAGAGCGTTTAAAGTCCAGAAGAAGTGTATTCGAGCAATATGCGGTGCGTGGTTCGATGACAGTTGCAAACCGCTGTTTAAAAGGCTGAACATTTTTTTTTTTTATTTATTTATTTGGTTTTCCAACAATGAGTACAATTTACATTACAGAAAATACACACAACACGTTATAAATACAATTGCCCCATTAATTATAGGAAAACACCGCATGCACAATAATGATTATTCTTATATTAACTATTTTTAACAAAATATTTATTAAGCAAAAGACAATCCACAACGTTTTCAAAATTAAGCCGATAACACTAGTCGTTTAAGGGCAGTAACAGGCACAGTTGCCAAATCCGCCGAATCATAATTTTCCATATACGTTGAGAGCATCCGAGAGAGTGGACAGTGTAGTCTGAGATTTGATTTATGTCTGGGAATGCAAAACAACTTTCCATTTTGTTTTCTTTGTGGTCGAAACGGAGCGTTAAACTGAACCCTGCATAACAAATCTGGACAATTAAATATACCAGTGACCAATTTCTTCAAAAAAACTAAATCATGCATTTTGCGCCTTGATTCTAGTGTAGCAAACCCAAAGTGGTTCAAACGATCAGCATATGAGTTGAGTTTCCCGGCCATATTGCAGCCGTAGGCCAAGTGATACATGAATCTCTTCTGAAGTCTCTCAATTCTTAGGCTGTTAACTTTGTAGCATGGTGACCAGACAACGCTGCAATACTCCAAGTGACTCCTGACTAAAGAGTTGTACATTATAAGCTTAACTAATGGTTTTTTAAAGTTCTTGCATTCCCTTAGTACAAATCCGAGCATTCTTGAAGCCTTTGCTATAATATTGTCGATATGTTTGTTAAAGCTCAACTTTTTATCAAAAAAAACTCCCAGATCACGTATGCCATCCACTTCTTCAATAGACTCGCCCATTAGATAGTACTTAGTAGGTATAATATTTATGTTTCTAGTAAATTTAACGTGATTACATTTTTTAATATTTAAAGCCATCTTGTTTCTTGTGAACATATTACCTTTGCCATGCATGTACATTAGGGATATCTGCGTATTTGTCAACTCTCATCCTCAATATTTTAAAACACGCGGTGAAGTCATTCAAAGGCAAACTAGAGCAAAAATTATGAATCTCTTATACCAACCTCGTTGCCATAAAGTAATTTATAAGAATAACTGCTTTAACATGTGTATAATTATTTACAATAAATTACCAAACGAAATTAAATTGTTACAAGGACATACTTTTAAATTAAAATTGACAAAATGGCTTTTGACACATTGCTTCTATAGTAATAAAGAATACTTAGAATTTACAAATTCATTACATTAATTAGAAACTATAGAGACTAAAGAAACATTGAATTCCATTAATATTTGCACATCTGCTTGCAGGTTGAATACAATGTACCTAATTTTACTTAAGACCTTTGTAATTACTGTATTCTGGCAAATAAACGTATTCTATTCTATTCTATTCTATAAAAATTATACAAAAAAAATGGCGATTTCGCCAATGTCTTCTTCTTTTAAATGTTATGGCTCCATCGAAATAATCAATGATTTTGCCAATGTCAAGTAAAAATAACTACGTACGGTAGTTTAATATTATTATAAAAATTATACAAAAAAATGGCGATTTCGCCAATGTCCTGTGAGAATTTCGTGCTATCGCGATAATTTTCCACATTTGACGTTGACACCTGTCAAAAGCTGAAGTTACTGAACGAAGACGATGGAGCCATTAAAAAGGTTTCGCCGTTGTGAAATAATTTTCAA